CGCGGCCATCAAATCCACACTCCTACCCACCAACAAGTCTAGATGCTGCACTTCCAAAGCAGCTTTCAACTCTCATTTCACCACCATCGTCACCCGTCAACCGCAATAGTCGCTGTCAGTTCACCACCAGATCCGCTAAATTCAAAACCAAACCATTTTTGCCGTAATACCTGAGTTATGACTATAGCAGCCGTCGTCACATTCTCACCACCACTGCAACGCGGGATCTGAAACTACTACAACGTCGTCGGAGAACGACATCACAACCACCATCCAACAAAAAGAAAAAAATTCAACACTCTACCACCACATAAAATCGCCGCCTACTACCACCTCCATTTCCACCACATCACAACCACCATCCAACAAAAAAACCCCCCAAACCTATCACCTCCATCGCAGTCGGCACCACCAAATCTACACAAGCAAAATTAGTCACACGGGCAGAAGCAGCATCAACCACGATGATGACATCGTCTATCACCTAGCGTTGTAGAGGTGTCATCGTCTTTGTTGAGCGGCGAGCTTGCGGTGGTCTCCATTGAGAGAGAGAGAGAGAGAGAGAGAGAGAGAGAGAGAGGTGAGAGAGAAAATGAGATACACAGAGAAGGAGAGGATAGGAAGTATAATTTTAATTTCTTATTTAATACCTGATTTGTGCTTAACTAAACATTATACCTAATTTTAGAATTTGTATCTTTAAACGCCTGCGTTTGTGTAGTTTCAATGAAGAAAAATTTAACTTGACAAATGGGCTTAAGCATTGACAAGCCCAATTTGACCTTCCTTCCAATCCAAGTGTTGCTTTTAAAAGAGAGGAGTCATATAAAATTTTCTTCAACTGGGATAAGTTGTGTAACCTTTTGCAATTTATGCCCTTGTTTGACCTACATTATTTTCCATAGAATGCATTTTTGTATAGTGTATTGATGGAAAACGTGTGATTAAAAAATAAAGAAAAATTTTGGATTTGCGTATAATATTATTTTATTGAAGAATGTGTGGTTGAAATAATATTAAGTTACTGTTTAAAAATGTACTTTTTTGAAAAAATGTGGCTCAAACATGGCCTATATATTTTTAATAATTGTTCACTTCCTTCTTGCTATTAAACAAATTTTTGCCCCCAAAGAACAAATAATTTCATTTTGAACAAAGCAAATATTTTAAATATATTAATCGTTAGTTTTTGATGTTTTAAAATAAATTATAGAATAATATATACAATTGACAAATATTGATTTATATTTACTTTGAATTAGCGATACTAAAATTTAAAATATTGTTGTTCTTATACTATTTTATAGTTTGTTGGAGTATTTATTTATTTATTTTTGATATCCAGTTCGACCCCAGGTCAATCCTGGTTCGACCATTTTCCTTTTCCAAGTTGATGTCCAAGTCGATTTTCAAAAAATTGATGTATAGAAGAGTGAAATCCATGCACGTCACGGCGACGTTTATTCCTCTATATACAACTAATAATCTTGTCTTTTGTCATTTCAGAAACGAATTAATAGCTAGTAACGCCCTTTGATTTAGTATTTGATACATGGACTATCGAAATATTTTGTTGCATAAGAAATAAGACAAAAATATTTGTGCGATTAACTGCTTCCACGTATAAGTAAGCAAATTATTATTCTATTCAATTTTACATAGATGTAAAATAAACATTTCTTCAATATCCATTTTATATTTTCTATTAGAATAAAAAGAATTGGGAATATTGATTAGATGTTAAAGATAAATCCTCGTACACATAATCTTGTCAGACCCGATACAATGCAAATTTTTGTTCTTAAAATTTGAGGCCCTACACAACCTCTATGTTGAGTCGAGCCATCAAAGTGTACCTTTTAGCTTTCCTATTATCATCCACATCCATATAGACAAGAAAAAAACTCCCTGTACAAGGCGTGTAAAGGGGCGCACACATGAGGGTGGGCTCCACACATCTGTGTGAGGTCCACCATGTGTAGGGTCCACCTCCATGTGTGTGCCTCTTTGCAGACCCTGTGTAAATGGGTCTGTACAGGTAGCACAACTGTATATTCAAACCTATCACAAAATTCAGCCCTGCAACAGCCAACATGACGAATACATAAAAACATCTTCGAAAATTCATATAAAAAGAGGTGTGCTTAGATACCTTTTTGATGTGAAATAATTTTTATTCTTGGTCACACGTACACAAGAATTCATATATCTCGCACCCCTTTTCTTTTTATTAATTGAACAAAAGTTTAATGTATCAAATATAAATTGTCAATAACTATTTGAAATGAGTCTAACAAATACTATACGAAAAATTTCCATCGAAACTCTACTTGAGAACACAAGAAGAAACATAGAATGCTCACTCACCTAACACTACGCATAGTATTGACAAATCTTGAACAAGAATATTCAGCTTTTGGGAGGACTTGAATGGCATATTTCCCATTAAAGAAATTTTTGAATATGTAGTAAAGAAGATAGACAATATGTTAGGCAATATTTGGTAGTTTTTACCAAGCATGCGATGACAGAATGAATGTTGTATTGGGTTACAAAACATTAGACTACAGAAAAAGATTGATGTTAAGTAAATTTGAGATTTGTTTTGGACAATACAAGTTCAGTGTACCAAAATATTCAATGTCTTACTGAAGTTAATACATTTTAAAGGAGGACATAATTGAATATTAGCCCACTAAAGAAATAGTTGAATAGGCAGTGGTAGACAAGACTAGATAACGTGTTAGGCAATATTTTATGCTTGCCAAACATGCGATAAGAGAATAAATAGTGTAGTGCACTGCAAAATACTAGACGTACCTTGTCTGGTTAAGCTAAAAATCAGAATTAAAATTTCAATCAAAATCATCAATTAATTTTAACCTTACATATTACGGGATCTATAACTTTTCAACCACACTTTCCATTAGCTTTAGTTAAAATTTACTAAAAATATATTTTTATCTAAACCAAACAGTGACATAGGAAAAGAGTATCAGTGATGAAATTTGTGATTTATCTTGATATTGCGACATATACAAGTAGACTAAATTAACAAAACATGTGGTACATCTTACTGAAAATCAATATTCCATTCTAGGAAAGGACGATGACATATTTGTCCATTAGAAAGTGAGGAGTGCCTCGTGTAGACTATGCTTTGTACGGCATGATGTACAACCATCTCAAAATAGGGGCCCACCATTTTTATATTCACGATGGGCCTATCATGTTAGGGGGCTGTACACATCCTAATTCTTAGAAAGATATTTGATTACTTAATAGTCAACAAGATTAAACACCGTACTAAATAATAGTAGGTACGCTTCAGAATAAATGAATATCTTATAGAATAACATAATACTAGACGTGTAGAAAAGTTGATAAACATTGTGATTTATCACATACAATACATTCAATCTGGTGTTGTACCAGAATACGATAAAGAAAATATGTCTAGATTCGACAATTTACGATTATGGATAAATGAGCAAGATGCATATCATTTATGAAACTTTTCAAATACAGGTGAACAATGAATACGTTATCTACTATCTTTTAACCCTGTTTTTGTTATGATCGAACAAGTATCACATTAAAATTTTATGTGCCAAACATAATTTATAAAAACTTTACCATGAAATGAAAAATTATATCCAAACTCGACCTTTAAAATATGAGAACAAAGTGTACTGCTTAAGCATTTAGCACTATTCGTCGTACTTAAAAAAGAATATTATAGGGAAGGACTCGAATAAAATATTTTTCTATAAGAAATGACTATATAATGATAGACAATATTCAACAATTTTTCAAGTAGCATTCTTTATTTTTACCATACATGTTATAAAAGAACGATCGGTGTACTAGATTGACATTATTAGACATATAGAAAAAGAGCAACACATCTTACCGTGCGTGGATATTTTATTAGAAGGGAGGACGCTCACGATATATTTGCTCAAAAAAAAAAATTGTGACTTGGTACTTTTGTAACAAAATATTCAATATATCTTACTAAATATGAGCAATCCATTATAGGGGAGAATTTAACGCCATATTTGCCCATTAAAGAAATATTTGACTTCATAGATTTGATAAGATTAGACAATGCATTAAGTAATATTCGACACGTCTTACCAATCATGCGACAACGATATGATTGTTGTGTTAAATGCACAAATCTAGACGTATAAGAAAAATGTGACACGGTAAATTTTGTGATTTATCTTGTTCAATATGATCAATCCAATGCACCAAATATACGAGACGCTATATCGTAAATGAATGTTCCTTCGTAAGAGAGGAGTTTAATGACATATTTGTCCATAGTAGCTGATAAGATTATACAACTTGTTAAATTCAGTTCAATACGTCTTACAAAACTTGCGATACAACAATGATTGTTGCACTAAATTACAAAATACATTACTTTTACTTTTACTTTCTATGGAAAAGCTTTTCAAGAAAGTTACCTTAATTTTTGTTTGAAAATTAATTTCTAGAAGAGTATTTTGTTTTAAAAGTGCTTTTAGAAGAAGATATATTGGACCGACTTCCTTTAAATCTCTTTTAGCTAGAAGAAGCATTCTTATAAAATTACCATTTGACAGAACTTCTATTTTTGCTTTTGTTTCCTCAACAAGAGCTTTTGAAAGAAATTAGTTTAATTTTTATTTGAAAACTAATTTTTAAAAGAGTTTTCTATTTCGAAAATGTTTTAGAGTACGTCACATTGTACAAACTTTCTCTAAAAGCTCTTCTTACGTTCACAAAATTAGCCAAACAAATTTAAAAGCAATTTTTGGATCACAAAAACCTCTTTGAACTTTTCAAAAACTATGCCAGATGAGCCCTAATCAAACAGGGTTGAAAAACAGTTTTTGGGTTTCAAAACTCCTTTTTGATTTCTGAAAAGCTATGCCAATTGCCAAACTGCCCTTAGTCCTCCTCTATATAAATGCGCCCACACCTCTCGTCTCTTCACTTCCCTCAACTTACACTTTCTCTCTATATCTATCTCTATTTCATTCTCTAAACTGCCAAATAACGACGGAAAAAAAACTCTCAATTTGCAGCCCTTAAACCTCTGATACAAACTGAAAAGTTTGAAAAATGTCGTCTGAGTACAGTTTTCTACTTGTTCCATCCACTGGTTATTCCTCAACTGGATTGAGCTTTGAGGCTTTGATGTGTTTTCTTGTGTTTCTTGCTTTGTTTGCCTTCTGGCTGACTCCAGGTGGACTTGCATGGGCGATTTCGAAGGCCCGGGCTCGGTCCAGAGCCGCCATTCCGGGTCCCTCTGGCCTGCCGGTTCTGGGCTTGGTATTCGCCTTCAATGGCTCTCTCACTCATCGAGTTCTGTCGAAGATTGCTCTGAGGTTTAAGGCAACTCGTTTAATGGCTTTCTCTGTTGGGTTCACACGTTTCATCATCTCCAGCCATACTGAGACAGCCAAGGAGATTTTGAACAGTTCTGCCTTTGCCGATAGGCCTGTTAAAGAGTCTGCCTATGAGCTTCTGTTCCACAGAGCAATGGGTTTTGCTCCTTATGGAGAGTACTGGAGAAATTTGAGGAGAATTTCAGCCACCCATTTGTTTTGTCCCAAGAGAATAGCCTGTTTTGGTAACATCAGGAATGAAATCGGCCTCAAAATGGTGAACCAAATCGAGCTTTCCATGGAGAAATTTAGCCATGTCGAGGTAAAAAAGACTCTTCATTTTGGGTCCTTAAACAATGTGATGATGACTGTTTTTGGAAAGTGCTATGAATTCAACACTGAAAATGATCAAGATGGAGCCTTGCTCGAGAGTTTAGTGACTGAAGGCTATGAGTTGCTTGGGAAATTCAACTGGACTGATCATTTTCCTCTTCTTGGCTGGCTTGATTTGCAAGGACTGAGAAAAAGATGCAGAAATTTAGTGGCTAAAGTTAACGTCTTTGTTGGGAAGATCATTGAAGAACACAGATTGAAGAGGACAGAAAATGGAAGTTTAGCAGATTCCAATGATTTTGTTCATGTTTTGCTTGATTTGGATAAGGAAAACATTCTGTCTGATTCAGACATGGTTGCTGTTCTCTGGGTAATGTTTTCGATTTTAAGTTTTTACATGAATGCATGCATTTGTATAATATTTAGTGCTTGTATTGTATGTGATATTTTAGAAAGTGGTTAAAAAGTTAGGTCGAAGTCAACAATCTATTTTAATCACACATTTCATATGACTCACAATTTTCATAGATTTTCAACCAATTCTATCAAAATCTGTTAAAATTTTAGTAAAAGCTTTACCATCCCCATCACGTGTCATGTCTTGACTATTTAGTTGGGTGTACTAAACTTGAATATTTTTCTATTACAGGAAATGATTTTTAGAGGGACTGATACTGTGGCCATTCTTTTGGAATGGATACTAGCTAGAATGGTTCTTCATCCAGATATCCAAGCCAAGGCTCAATTTGAACTCGACACTATAGTTGGGACTAATAGAACAGTGACTGATTCTGATCTCCCTAAACTGCCCTATCTTCTAGCAATAGTAAAGGAAACCCTCAGGGTGCACCCTCCTGGTCCCCTCCTTTCGTGGGCCCGTCTTGCACTTCACGACACTTATGTGGGACACCACTTCATCCCAGCTGGCACTACGGCCATGGTTAACATGTGGGCCATAACGCACGACAAAATGGTCTGGTCTGAGCCGAATGCTTTTCGCCCCGAAAGGTTTCTTGATGAGGAAGTTGCCATCATGGGGTCTGATCTTAGGTTGGCACCATTTGGTTCCGGGAGGAGGGTTTGCCCCGGCAAGACGATGGGCCTTGCTACTGTCCATCTCTGGCTAGCTCAATTCCTTCAAAAGTTCCGGTGGGTGGCTTCGGATAATGGAGTCGATTTAACTGAATGCCTCAACTTGTCACTGGAAATGAAGCAGCCATTGGTGTGCAAAGCTATTCCCAGGAGTTCTTGAAGGAAATTTGCAGTTGTCAAATGTTTTGATGGATTGGTGTGTTACATTACATATGGTGGTATCTCTTTGTTCATAACTATCATCTATTAGTTTTTCTATAATTGGCTGTTACTATATTAAGACTAAAAAAAAAAAAAAAAAAAAAACCCAAAAAAAAAAAAAAAATCCCAAAGAAAGAAAAAAATGTGGGCTTAAATTTGCTATGTTAACTAGAAAATTAACCATTGGTAATGAGTTTTTGTTTTGGGGTTTGTGGTGAGTCTGTCTGGTTAGAAGTTTCATGCACTGTACACAGCTTTTCTTGTATGGAAATCAATGCAATATTAATATCTTATATATTCTTACATTTTCATTCTCGATTTTAAATTTTTGTCAAATCCAATGCATGGATAATTTTGGCTTTTTTCATTTATTCGATAAAATTGAAATGATATACGAAAGTAATGAGGCAAAGAAACATAGTCATCCAACTCAATCAAAACTTCCCTAGTTTTTGCCCGAATTTGTACAAACTGCGTTCTTGTGAAAATAACAATTATGCAATGTTTGGGAGGATTTTAACATTTGAAACCAAATGGAAAACAACTATATACTTTAAAAGAAGCATAAAACCTATTAGTTCTATTTCAGTTGGCCAAGCTAATGACATTTACTTTAATACTTGTTGATTCTTGAGTTTGAATTCACTCCTTCGAAAACAATCGGACAGAATTACCTGAATGCAGGAATTGATCAACAGGATCAGAAATTGTAATTCGAGCCCACCGACTTCACGATGTGTCCTTAAAACGAATTTGCTGCCTTCAATGGTGCTAAAGGCGTCCAGCAATCGTTTCCCAGGATAGAACGAATTTTTCGTCTCCTACGGAAGCAGCACTGCAGTCTGTAGGAGTTCCAACGAACTCAACGAAGTGTTTTTGACTTCGAGACAATATCAGAACGAGAGAGAGGGAAATGAGATTCAAAGCACAGAAAGTTTGCAATGAAAATGGTGTAAATTTTCTGGTAGAAAGGCTGGCTATTTATAGACTTGTTCGTGGCCATTCGAACAGTCATCACCTTTCAGACAAGCCTCAAAAATCCGAACAGACATACTGTTCTTAAAAGTCGTGTCTGTTAAGTCGGTTAACAGTCGGCTAACAGTCGACTGTTTGGTCGGTAAACAGTCGAAACAGTCGACTGTTACAAGAAAATAAAACACCCGGAATAAACCAAAATTTAAATAAATTTTGTACCCAAGAATTTGATTATTTACAATTTGGCCCAAAATTTTAAATAAATTTTGTCCAAAAAATTAATATAGTGTAAAGGTCGACCCG